CACTGGACCTTCTTATGACAGGAGAGGCTGGAGCAATCCCGGCTGCCTGGCAGGCATGCGGCTTTAGCCGTGTAACTGTAGGGAGCAGAGGAGACCCTGTTGTCAGAGCCTGCAGATACACACGTGCACGGGGGCTGCAGATGCTGCAGCCCAGGGATGAGCTCTCAGGGAAAGCCTTGCTGCCCGAACACACATGGCCAGTCCCAAGACAGCTGCACGATGATGCAGCTGAGGACTGGCTGAGTCCCACCCGCAGCTCAAGCCCTCTGCCAGGACAGTTTTCTTTGCCGTGCAAAGAGACGGATGGGGTTTTGCTAGCAGAGAGTGTTAGTGAAAATGCAGGGGCTTGTCTTTACAGCCCCTCTGTCCCCCTCCCCAGGCCCCTGCATCACACCAGTGCCAAACCCAGCCTGACTCACGTCCCCACTATCCCCAATGGCACGGAGGGGCGATGCCTACCCGTGCTGTAGGCGGGGGATGCTGGGTTCTCAGAGATGGGGGACATCGGGGAGTGCAGGTCTTGGATCTGGTCCACGCTGACAGCACAGTTGCGAATGATGTCTCTGTGGTGGGGCAGGGACACGCTGGGGAGGGGGCAGAGGAGGCAGGTTATTATCTGGAAACAGGGCAAGGGCAAAAAAGCTGAGATGGGTGTTTGCTGCCCCCCATCACCTCCCCTCAGGTCATCACCTCCTTCCACAACCACCTGTAAGGAGATGAACCCATAACGAGCACAGCTGTAGTGATGAGTGGGCAGTCCCTGCAGGCAGCTGGGAGCAGAAGGGGCCAGCGCCTACATAAAGCAGAGACAGCTCTACCTCTGGAGAGTTTGGTCCTATGGAGCAGAGGAGAGGGATGTCCTGATGCCAAGGTATGGGGATGGGATGGCTCGGCTCTGGCAAAGAAGTCGTGTGGGATAGTTTTCTAGGGATGTGTTGCAAGTTGGTATCTAATATTAAGTGTGTTACTCTATTCTCACCTTGAAGTTGTGCTGGGATGGTTTGGTGAGCTGTTGCTCTGACCCAAAGCTTAGGAGAGGTGGAAGGCGCCTGGAAGCTGGACTTGGAGCCCCGCAGGCACCTATGAGGTGCCTGGATTGGTGAGCTGTAGTGTGTGCACTCAAGGAGCTGCAGGGCAAGGAAGGTGGTCTTGGGCTAGTGGGGCAGCAGCTGTGGCCTCATGCAAACGCTGTGTGTCAATGGTGTTGCAAAAGATGCTGCAATGGGGGCAGCTGAGCACAGAGAGGGTTGCAAGGAGGCACGGCACATAATTCCCGGCTCCCCTTGCCATGGGCGAGGGCTGGACTGTGGTGATGTGTTTGCTCTGGAGTGCAGTGCCCCTGTGCTGGGAGGAGGACGGGAGAGCAGTGGTAGTGATAAGGGGTTTGGGGAGAATGTGAGTGGTGGGGAAAGACTGATGAATCTGGGCTCTTCTTCTGGAAACACATATGCTTTCCTGGAAATCTGAGTGGTTTTCTTTTTCTGCTATAACAGTTAGTTGCCTGTCTTCTCATCCTGCCCTTGGGCTGAGAAGGTTGGGGCCATGAGAAAGCAGCTTGGTTCAATGATGGGCTGTGTGCTGCTGGGAAGGGAGAAGTAGATGGGTCCCCCCTTGGCTGCTGTGGCTGAGGATGTATGTGTGGCTCTGCCTGTGAAAGATCCGCTCTCTGGTAATCCTGGACTGGGCGACTGTAAAACGCTCCTGTGTTTCTCGGCTGAGATGCTAATCTCATATCTGCTCACTAGGTGTTTACTGCGGTAGCTCAGTGTGGCTGGCAGCTGGCCGGGGAGAAAACTCCAGTTCCAGCTGGATACCAGTTCCTCCCCCCATACCTCTGCTGGTCTCTCTCTTACATCTCTGATCCCAAACCCCTGCGCTGCACCCCAGGAGTGGGGACTGAGCATGGCTCTGCCTCTTCCCCAGCGGTTGACCCTCTGCCCAGATTAGCCGGGATGAGACTCTGTGCTCACCTGGTCGGGCACCCCTCAGCCCTGGTGATCTTGTCTGCTGTCAGGCCGTCCGTCATGGTGATGCTCCTCCTTTTGATGTGCCCCCCTTTCTGGGTGGCAGGGCTGTGGGGTCCCCCATGCTTGCCGTTGGCCAGCCCGTAGCTGGCTTCCAGGTAGCGCAGGGGGAAGGTGCGATTGATGGGGCAGTAGACGATGGCTCCGCTCTGCTCGGAGATGGCCTTGCGATTGCCCACGTAGAAACGGACAAGGGCAGGCACGTTGTCAAAGCTCTCCTGCTCAAAGAGGTACTGGACACGGGTATGGCCCTCGCTGGACTTGACCGTCACCTTGTTGATCTTGAAGTGGAGGGGCTCGTTGTGCCAGCGGCATGTCAGCACGTAGTCCCCCAGGCTGGTGAGTGAGTCGCGGATGAGGAAGTCGCCGTTCCTCTGCACGAGGCTCTCTGACACCTGGCAGGGGACAGGGCAGCAGCTCAGGCACGGCCATGCTGGATGGACCAGGCGGCACGAGTGGATGCTCCACTGGGGTGCTCATTCCCCTTGTCCATGGCTCTGGGCCATGGGAGAGCATATCCCGTGGCAACTCCAGCAGCTCAGGGATAATGAAGCCCTTGCCTGGAGGCTTCCCAGGAGGACGGGCTGGTCCTTCTGTGTGACCGTAGGGTGCTCTCCCTGAGCAGCTCAAGCAAAGGGTGCCCAGAGCCAGTCACCGTGCCCAGCGCCACCCACCTTCCCCTCCTCACCTCCCGGGGGATGCGGCCGTGGTACCAAGCGTGGCTGCGCAGGTCGGTGCTGCTCAGCTTCAGCTCCTCTTCCAGCTCCTTGTGGAGCTTCTCTGGTGATGAGTCGAGGATGTATTTCTCCTTGGAGAACTGTACAGGGGAGGAGAGAGCGTCAGTCAGTGTGGCAGTACAGGAAAAGGCTGATTCTGGGATGGGCTGGCAGGGTCTCCATGTGAGGACTGGCATGGGTGCTGGTGATGCCACCCATTGGGAGCCAGCCTGTCCCCAGGAGATGGGTAACAGAGAGCTGTGTGTGAGGATCACCGCTTGTGGCAAAGGCTGCATCTGGAGTAATGTGCCTGTGGGTGGTCAGGTCCTGCCACAGCAGCACTTGGAGGGTCTCCTGGTGGTATGTCCCCATCATGCCTGACCACCCTGGCCCCAGCATTCCGTCCCAGCTCAGAGCTGAGTGTGGTTGGGCAGAAGAAAGCCTGTCTCAGCTCCCTCTCAAACATCTCCAGGGCTGAACCACTGTGGGAAGCACTTTTACAGGAGGAAACCTGCATTATCCCTCCTCCTCAAAACATCCGCTGTCGTCCCTCCTCTAAAGGGTTAACTCGCTGTGTTTAGCCTGATGGTGGCATGAATAATAATGACAAATGTGAAGGGAACCTTCTGCATCAAAATTAGCTTTTACCAGCTCTGGTGCACCTGAGCCTGGAGGATGCAATTTGCCCCCTCCCTTCCCACCCCCCTGGGAGAGATAAGGGATGGCGTCATGTCTCCCGGTGGTTGGAGCCAGCCTTGCTCCCTGCCCGCGGCTTCGCCAGCGTTCTCCGAGGGCAGCTCAGGATGCCGAGCTGCCGGCATGGTGGAGCTGGTGCTTGCTTGGGGATGCAAGCACAGGTTTGGGCTTCCTGTGTGCTCCAAGCACAGGGCTGGTTCCCCTGGTTGGCGTGATGGCTTTGAGATGGGCCCTGTTGTGGTGCCAACGCTGGTGCCTTGGCATCAATGTGTGGTGGAGCTCTTGGGGTTCCTCCCACACCCCAGACAGGTGCTGTCCTTCAAGAAGGATGTGTGTGCCACTGCCACAAACCGGGGAGCTTGGATGGGGCTATTGGTGTGTCCCATGAGCAAGGGTGGTTCGGTGGCCTGGCTGCACCTCAGGTGGCAGTGCCAGTGTGAGGAGGTGTTGCAGGCTGACCCAGCTCCTTGGCTCTTGTTAGGGCAGGATGCTGCTGGCATCTTGGAGGACAGGCATGGGCTTGAAACCCTGCTGACACTGCTCTGGCACTGCCGTCCTGGCTGGCCACGGGCACGAGCTGGGTCCCCAGAGCACTGGGGGCTGCAGCCCCACACCGACACACCAGCGACCTGCCTCAGAGCTGACCCCTTTCCCCAGCACCTCATCTTCTGTGTCCAAGATTGATTCCCTCTGCCCCTCTAGCAGCTGTGAGGAGAGGAAAGCCTAGAGCACTGCGCTGCTCTGCTGCCTTGTACCCGGTGCTCTTAGGACCCCTCCAGGTCACTCACAGCAGGAGCCTGGCCCCAGCTCCCACCCTTCCCTCGAGGAGATGCTCCATTCATGAGCTAAGCCAGGCAGCGATGCTGTCCCAGGGACCCTGCTCCAGCCTGGGGAAGGGGAAGCCTCTGTGATGGGCCATGCTCTCCAGGGCTTGCCCTCACCAGCCTGGACCCGAGCCTAAAAAAGCTCCTATCCAGTCAAAAGGTGCTGGGACAGCAGAAGCAGTCTGTGAAAACAGTACGGGATGAACTCAGACTTGCTCATCCAGCCGTGTTTATCCTCCCCATGTGAGGGTCCTGCTTGCTGGAGCTGTGGGGACCTGAACCAGGAGACCGTATGTTGTGCCCTTGTGACCGAGGCCAGCAGGGAGCAAAGCGCTTGCTGCCGCCCTGGGGCACTCGTGGAGACAAAGCCACCTGGCGCCGCTGAACCCTATTAGAAATAAAGAGGAGCCGGCGGATGCTGCTGAGGTCCGGCTGCCTCCCAGGGGGCTGAGGCCAAGCAGATGCCGTTTCCATGACAACCTATCTACTGCCACCAAGTAGACCTGGCTTGGCCAAGCAGCACTGGGGGACCCTTGGCTGTGGCACCTCGCCCTGTATCATGGCTCACCCAAAACTCTGGGGTTAGGAGGGACCCACCAGGAACCTCTCCTATCTGTGCAGGTTAAAGCTTTGAGAACAGAGTCGGGAGCGGTTTGGAGCTGGTGCTCCCCCCGCTGGCCCTGGAGCAGGGATTAGTGCCTGTTCTGCTCAGCATTGTACATCTGGGTTTTCCCCCAAATCCTCACCATGCAAATGTGCAGGATAATAAACACAAACCCAGCTGAGCAGCGCCCGGCATCTCCAAGCCCAGATTTGGGCAGCAGCCGGCTGACATGTATGCCAGGAGCCAGGTGCTAAGCTAGCAGGAGAGAACAGGAGGTTTGAGAGAGGCGAGGGAGGTTTTACATCTTACAGATGGGGAAGGGAGGCCAGTCATGAGCAGAAGATGCTGTGAGACACCTTCTCTAGCAGTGGGGAGGGCACTGTCCTTTTGGCTCCTTGGCTGGGCACTGAGATCCTCTCTGATTGGCACAGCCACCAAAAATCCACTGCTTGGCGTGACTGTGTAGTGCTGATAACTGGGGAAACAGCTAGAGACTGCTCTTTGGGAGCCCTTTTCCTTGTTGTGATGTGACTCTGAGAGCTGGTCCTCGTGAGTCTCTCACACTCTTCCAACGTGCTCCAGTTGCTGCCAAAATCACCTTGCTGCTCCCCTCTCTGTGCAAGAAGACCTAGTCTTGCCGCAAACCCATGGTGCAAAAGACCCACGTGCTGCGGAGGGACGAGCTTCCTCCAGCCCCCGAGCAG